CCTCAATTAGGAGGAAAATCAGCCATGGCTTTAGAATATTCGATTATTCCCAGCATCGTTGCCCTTGTACACTAGATAGAAATTTAATCCACGCTCTTAAGAAAGCAGCAGTGCTGGAGACAGAGCACTGCTCCAGGCCCTGCAAGCTTTTAGGGTTTTCTAATATTTCTAATGCGTTTGCTAATGCTTGCCAGTTTGATCGTAGCCAGTATAGCCAGACTTCTTCCCACTCCAGCAATTCAGTGGGAGACAAAGTTGAATGTTAAAAATCTAACTGTTCTACATAAAATTACTACCAGCCATCTTCCATTTGGTGGAGTCACCTCACAATTAAAAGTAATTTAAAAAGACTTTATTCCTGGCTGCAAGTCTATTCAATCACAAAAGGACTCATTTGTTGTTATTAAGTGACAAAGACTCAAAAAATAGCACTATGCACACAAAACATGAACAGTAGGAATCCCAAGAGTAACTCTAGGCAAACCCAATTCATTTTTACCACTACCATGGTCTTGGCACTATTTCTGACCAACTGTTTGAGAGAGGACGGGCAGGAAAAAAAAAGAAAAAAAGAAAAGCTTTTAAATTTGATGGGTCCAATTTAAATTGCTTTCAATTGGGCAGAGAGGAACCTCATGCGGTTCAACAAGGMCAAGTGCAGGGTCCTGCACCTGGGGAGGAATAACCCCAGGCACCAGTACAGATTAGGGGTCGACCTGCTGGAAAGCASCTCCACGGAGAGGGACCTGGGAGTCCTGGTTGACACCAAGTTAACCATGAGTCAGCAGTGCCCTTGTGGCCAAGAAGGCCAATGGGATCCTGGCTGCATCAGGAGGATGTTGCCAGCAGTGGAAGGGAGGAGATCCTGCCCCTCTCCTCAGCTCTGGTGAGGCTGCACCTGGAGTGTTGGGGGCAGTTCTGGGCTCCCCACTATAAGAGGGATGTGGAGCTTCTTGAGAGGGTCCCGTGGAGAGCAACAGAGATAATTAAGGGAATGGATCATCTATCCATAATCCATCAAGGAGAGATGGATTTGGGCCTGCTTTCTCTGGAGAAGAGAAGACTAAGAGGGGATCCGATTAATATGTATAAGTACATGAAGGGGGGATGTAAGGAGGAAGGGGCCAAGCTCTTCTTGGTGGTGGCCAGTGACAGGACAAGGGGTATAAGTTACAACACAGGAAGTTCCATCTCCATGTGAGGAAGATCTTCCTTCCTGTGAGGGTGACAGAACAATGGAACAGGCTGCCCAGGGAGGYTGTGGAGTCTCCTTCACTGGAGGTCTTMAAAACCCACCTGGATGCCACCCTGTGCCCYRTGCTCTGGGTGTCCCTGCTGGAGCAGGGAGTTGGACTGGATGATCTCCAGAGGTCCCTTCCAACCTTAACCATTCTGTGATTCTGCGAGGTCAAACAGGTTACTGCTACAGYTAATCACAAACTCCTCCACGCTACAGAAAATATCAGTAAGGCTTTTCTCTGATTTCAATAATATTAGAATATAATTCTATCAAGGAGCAAAAAAAACCCAAACAAAAATAAAACAAACAAAAAAGAACTTCAGCAAAACAATCCTCATAAGTTTTAGGTTTCCAGATCATCAGATGCTGATTCTGCATTTACAAGGTTTCTGCAGAGAATTTTATTGAATCCCTAACTGTGCTCAAAACTACATTTCCACTGTAAAATTTATTTCACTGAAGTACAGAAGTGTTTTCCCTGACCTTTATTTCTACTTCCAGTACTCATGAAAATGGTAAATTGTGGCAGGAGGTCACTCAGCCATCTGAAGGGAAAGTCCTTTTGAGGCCCTGGCATGATGTCATCCCATACACATACATGTACCTAATGCTTTAAAAAAAATCATTGTTTTATTACAAGCAGGAAGCATGTCTGGGAAAATGTGCATATTCAATGGAATGGTTTTTATGAAAAAGTCAATGAACATGTGCTTAAGGGAAAAACTCTTTCATCACTCATCTTCATATAGGCAATGGTTCAGCTGCCTTAAAACATAAGCACTAAATCCCCATGGAAAGGAAGTAGAGAAGAATCTTATCCTTTATGATGAAATATTATAAAAAACGCAAACTTGAAACTGAAAATAGGAGGTCAGAGACATACTTTTATCAACAGTACATCTTGAGCAGGAGACAGATGCTTGTTTATTTAACATCTAAGACCAGTCAGTCTACATAACACTGTAGAGTGAAATAAAGTTATACCAAATGATATAGCCTTTCTGGTGCTGACACAGCGTAGTATCCTCTGAATACCACAGGTCAGCTGCAATAAACCCAAGGGCATCTTCAGTCATCCATACTCAAGGCCTTGACTACATGGAAGCTCTGCACTAGCCAGTTCATTTCTCACATTTTACATATAAATGGAAGCAAGACTTGAATCAGGCCCCAAATCAAATCACAAGGCGAGATCAACAAGTAACTTTTTCAGTTTCAGGAGAGACTAATAAAAAACCAAAAAAAGAATGCAGATTTGAGAACTGTGCAACTGTGCGCTGTCCCTATCATCCAAAAAGCATTTTTGTGCTTTAGGCACAAATACAGACAACCTCCAACTGGGTCCAGAATGATAGCGAGCCACCTACATGCTCATTAGGGTTCCCTCTAGCACCTTGAAAGAGACACACAACAGCCTGCAGAACGAGGCCRGCGCATCCTGGCACAATGTAGTGCTCTTGTCAGGYGGGATGTTACTTGGTGCTCATTTTGCTTTTCAGCTAGCATGCCTGGTGCAACTGGAAGGAATATTAAAACAGATAATGAGCAATACAGATCACTGTGATGGTGCTGTTGTAATCCCATGGCAAAGATCTTCTCTTTTTACATTCATGAGAGCTATTCTTAATAGTTACAGTGCCGTGCAGACCTGTCACAAATTCCTTGCTTTGCAAAGCTTGGAATTTGTTACTGTGTTAAAAAAGGCATAGTGTTTTGATTTAATATTTAAATATGACAGCCTATGAGACACATTTGACATGATTAAATGCCTAGGTGTTTTCTGGGTGGTGGTCAGACAGGTAGTCTACAGAAAAAACTTCTAGTAGCGCATCATCACACTGTATTCTCCTTCCCTCCTTAAGGTAAGTTGTTTTCCATCTAGGTGCATAGAAAGAAAGGCAGTACTCACAATGAAAGTAAGCCTAGCTCATCRGATATGAGCTCCCTGGCCATACCATCCATGAGAGCTCACAGGTGCTAGCTGCCCTCCCAAGAGGAGCACGGGGTCTGGAAAAAGACCTCCAGCATGTGACAAGGCCACTCAAGTTATCCTCACAATATGCCTCAAAGAGTCAGGGAGGAGGAAGACTATGACTAAAGAAACTTGTAATACTTGCAGAACAGCTCCTGATTTCAAATGTCCCTTAATGGAAGCCACAGACCCACGTCAGGTGCCAGGACACCCTGCAAAGGGCACAGACATCTACTGTCCCATGGAGGTAGCTAGGGGTCTGATCCCTCTCCAGCAAGGGAAGAAAACTCAATGCTGGTCTTGCACAACRAAGCTAAGATTTTGCATTACAGGCCTCCTCCTCTTGACATCTTTCTGAATGAATGTTCCCTTTCCCAGTTCTCTGTGCTGCCCCAGCATAAGCTGTTAGATGTACTTTGAAAGGGCCAGACATGCCTGTRGCCAAATAATTTATTATTAGTCTGGGTATCTGAAAAACTGATACACTGTGAAAAAGAATCCATTCAGGTCACACACAGAAATCAAGTTTAACACATCTGTGGAAACTTGCTGGTATAAGCCGTGCTACTGGGCTCAGAAGGTGTTTTGAGACTCCTAGTTCYGCCTTCAAAGACTATTTGACATCTACCATGATGTTCCAGCCACATCTTATTTCAARGACTAAACTAGAATCAGCAATATCTTCGAGAGCATTTCTGTCGACCAGTCAGCTTAACTCCAGCTTACCCGCTCATCCTTCCCTAAGGCCCTCTCATCCCTCTCTACTGATCTACAAACTTCACTATTAGCATAGGCCTAAACCCATTGCAGATGCTCAGATAAATGAATACTTAACTAGCGTAAATACCTTCTTACTCCAAGATATTCAGGTAGGAATACTCTTCCTGCTCCTAAATGACATACCAGTAAGGGGTCAGAGCCAAAGTCATGATGTGTCCTTACCCACACTGAATTCTAGAACTGCTGGAACTGTCAGGACCAGAAAAAAAAAGCAGATTTATATTCATTGATCTTCAATCAAATGTAGAAGTGACAGAGATTTATATACCTCTTCTTAGTCACCACAGGTTGAGAACATCATCTGTCCTAGAATTACACTTTCATTGCACAACTCATTTATATTCATATAAAATATATACATGAAATTCAGAATACCTTTATATTTTCTCCTGGCTTTGCTTTAATATTAAGTGCTTTAAAAATGACCACTTTTGAGCAACTTCAAAATGAAARAATGTATGCTCTTTCCTCCCCAAAGTGGATTTCTTTCCCCTTCCTATCCTCAAGATATGTGCACTGTATAGTAGAGTACCTTCAAGTGAAGCTCTGTAATTGCAGCTTCTTCATTGCTAAAGTGAAGGGTCTCATTCAATCAAAGAAAGGAAAAACCAAATCCTCAGGCCCCAAGCTTTAAGGGAATTCATTATTGCACAAAACAGCTGATGAAGCAAGTCTTGAAAGTGGCCCTCGCTCTCAATATCACCTCATTAGCAGTACAAACTGTCATGATACAGAATTCAAATGAATTCCAGCAAACTCATCCTCTTAGCTGTGCCAGGCATAGTATTTTATGTTAAATAMTATATATTCCTCAGCCAGAGCAGAACATCTTCCACACTTCCAAGCTTTTATAAAAATCACAGTATTTGCGTAATCCCTTCATATCAAAGTACATTTTTAATATCAACTAGAGGAAAGGGGGCACAACCAATAGTTTCTACTACAGAAGTGGATATAATTTTAATTTTACATAAACCAAGCAGTGCAACTTATCTAATAATATAGATCTCTAAATATGATAGAAGACACTCAACAGAAGCCACAAGACCATTTTTTACAAGTCAGTTACTTGAAGCAATGTACACACATTGTTTAATCTCCAAAACACATAATTGCAGAGTATTTTTTCCTAAAGTTTCTTTTATAGATAGTTTTACCCTTAACACACAGGTGCTCCACCCTCAACTTACTGTTGCCTCAAATGGTACATTTAAGGGGAAGAGGGGGGGAAAAAAAACAACCAAACAAACCATCCAGAAACTGCCTATTCTACTGTATTCTACTGAGAACTGAAAACAATTATATCCTTCCAGGATCTGGGTGTTCAGAGATGAGCTCCCCATTGCCCTGGCCATAAGTCCATAAGTATCAAGACACATAATCTCCATGACCCTGCTGCCACCTTTGACTGTTTACAGACAAGAGCAGCAGAGATGTATTGCAGAAGAGGATAGAGAGATGAAGTATGTACATATTTCCCCAGTGGGAACGAGGGAAGGGGACTCTTCAAATTCCCTTGAAATGATTCAAAATATTCATAAAGGGAGCATCACTGTCTGAAGCATTTGTCTTACTGCCTTTGTCACCTACATTGAATCAAAGATATCTTCATAGTTCACCAAACTGAATATGCTGTCCACTGGTTAAACCAGATGAATGACAAATCAGGTAATACAGAATAGTAATTGTTAGATTATGCCAATGAAATCATGCTTATTCCTTATTCTAAAATACTTAACTCCTTTAATTTGGAGATTTCAGAGTTTTGAGTCCTTTTTTTATACCTCCTCCTATGTGATCACATTTAGTCTACATTTGTAACCACACCAAGTGSATAAGTGTCAGCAAGTCGCAGTCTTGAAACCTCGTGACTGCAGCCTCAGAGGACATTGAAAGAAAGCTTATATATACATATACACACACACACTTACACATACAAATATCAATTTCAATATCAACTGATCCTTTTCTAGGGTCATCAGAAGGTTTTCAGAAAAYCTAAGACTGCTATCTATGGCTATGGGACAATTTTGTGCAAGGCCCAACACATTACTTTGTTGTGTGGATATCTACTAAATCCCAAGGATAAATATAAACTGGCAGAACCCTCAATTATAAGGGTAACTTGCACTGCAGAGACAGTTCTCACCCATCAGAGAGAGAAATATAGCAGCTACTGTCAGTAGCAGATGGACATCTAGGAGCAAGTATCTCAAGGGTCTTCCACACACAGGGAAAAATAAATAAATGCTATACTAATCAAATGCCCCTGTGGCACAGGAGAAAGGATGAAAGTAGCCCATACTTCCTCTACTTTCTCTACCCTCTACTGAGAAAAGTATGGGAGGAAGAATTTCCCCACATTTGTGGGGGAAAGGATTCCACTCCTTCCAGACACAGCAGAGCTGCTACAGGATTTTTACATATCAGCAACCTGCCATGCTCCCAGAAGCAGCTGTGGCATCTTGCTGTTCAGGGAGCATCTTGCTGACCTTGGAGCCCTGGGCAGCAGCACCAGTGCTAATCAGCCAGCAGCTGCTAGTTAACAGCAGGATCTTGTTATTTTGGTGTCTTTCCCATCCTACTGATTCCTGATCTCAGCGAGGGCTGCAAGGCATTTAAAGTAGCCAGTGACCAATTCCACCTTGACCTCAGAGCTACTGCAATCCAACAGCTCTCAGAGCTACAAAACACTATCAGCTCAGCCAAAACAGGGTGCATTTCTTACCCCAAGAAATATCTTGCCCTGCTCAAAGTGGCAGATCCAGATTTCCAGCTTCTGCCGATTCTAGCAGCTGGGTGACCCCAGAGATAGGTGATCTCAAGCCCCTGCCTCTGAGCATCATCTGTCCCTTGCTGTGAAAGAAGSCCACTGGCCTCCCTGCATGACTCTGAGCAGCTGCTAGGGCAGCTGATGTCTCACCTTCAGTCAGCAATTGCTGCAGCACAGGAAAAAAAGCCTGRATCCCTTTTCCTACTGTATAAGGAGAGGGAAGAAAGGAAAAAAAAAGTGGAAATCCTCCAAAAGCCAATTAAACTGTCTTCTCAGCCCTCTTGCAGGGGAAGAGTTTACTGTCGCAGTGAGATCTAGGAGGGAACACTGCACCAGACAGTCCATGCTGCAGGAGGCTTCAGTCCTAAAGAGAACAGTCCATTCCTCCTGCACGCCATCTGTTTTGCCCTAGGGTCACAAAATTACAAGATAAGTAAATTGCAGCTTTCTGGGAATTCAGAAGGAGACACAGCCACTACCTGAAGGACCCCTTTAAACTGTGCAGACCTGTATTAGCCAACTGCTTCAGTTTTTGCCTAGAACTTATAGCTGATCCAAGTGAAAGCTTTGAAGTGACCACCACAAGGACCCACAGTCTAGTTATGGATCAAAAAGAACTTTAGAACACATTGCTATTATTGCAAGAAGGTCAACACTAACAAATAATCAGTTATTTGGCACCAAACAACCAACTCCAAGTGGTTTTAGAGACTATGGAAGATTTAAGTCTAAATTTAGACACTCAAGCTTTGTTGGATTCAAACAGCATAACAAAACCATGGAATATGTTGTGAGAAGGGGTGAAGGATGGAATGGTCCAGATGGGAAAGCAGCTAATGTAAGTATAGTTTCTCTAAACCACAATCGTGGCTCTATGAATCAGAGACAAGCTCCAAAAGGCCAGGGATTTACAAGCTGCTTGATAGTTCATTAATCCACTAACGGCACATTAGAAAATAAATCAAACGGCTAGAAAAATCTCAGCTGATGATTCTGTAATTGTTTGTCTTTCCAGGCTACCATCACATTTGGACTAAAGAGCTTTCAGTCTTGTGCAACAGAAGTAGATATTCTCCAAGTTCCACACAACAGCTGGCTTCAGTAGCACTGATGCAAAAATTTCACTTGTGATTTATTCCTTCTATCAGATAATCAGTTCCAAGGCAAAATCTTCAGTCAAARCAAGTTAATACAGCAGTACTGATTACAGAGATAAAGATTATATGGACTCACCAGCTACACCTGCAAGTCCAGGTCTCAGACAGCAGGCATAATGGTTCGGAGTTCTGAAGCCAGCCTTCTGAAACTCAACATGAAACACTGAATCTGTAATTTCAGGGAACAAAGAGGCTGATTTCAAGAATACTCACTTTCAGTCACAAATGCCTTTTGGATTGCAGATGAAGAGAGAGCTTAAMATCAGTTGCTTGTAATGGAGGCACATGTGCATAAAGGAGACTGGCCACAATTAACACAGATAATTAGGCTAATTAAATTTGGTTTAACCTGGAGAAGTATGTTAGCCAACTGAAGATAATTAGCCTGGATTAAGAAAAAAAAGGAAGGAAAGAAGACATACACACTGGACAAAAGTAGCTCAGAATTATTTTGTGCGAAAAACCTTSAAGAGGTCTAAGCCTCAGCTGCCAGGTCTAGAAAAAACGGAGTGGTTTTGTTCAGCCAACAACCCAGCACCATTAATGGAGGACAAGATGTCTGGACTTAGGATTCTTTCCTGGGATCAAATTTCAATTGCTCGCCAATTGCCAAGGTGCTGGTCCAAAACCCAAAAGGAGCTGAGCACTTGCAGGAGAACATTCTATACCATGGGTGAAGCAAGCCAAGTCCTATAGAACCAGCAGGGTGGGATGAATTTAAAAAAAATTTTTTAATTTTTTTTTTTTTTAAAGTAAGCTGAGAACAAAGTTACCCTTTGGGGAATTCTAGGCTTCACTCCCAGTAATTTCAGGGGTAATGAAGAAAAYTAAATCTCTTGGCTAAGTAATGAGCAACATCAGAACAAATCATGAACCAGTATAGACTAAATTATTTCATTAACTTGGTTCAAGACTGCCGCTACAAATACTTGTGTAAAAAATTCATTTTGATTAGACTTATGTCTGCATTAGCATCTCAAAATTCACATATAACACATCTTACATTCAGAAGTAACTAATGCCCGAGATTTACAAAGAGTAATGTACACACACAGCAAATTTAGAAAGTCATGAAGTATTGGAGAAATGAAGAACTACGAGTTCTCTGGCAAGTTCAACTTGGGAATAGATACTGTTCTCACAAGTGAAATCAATTTAAGGTATGTTATAATTGGGTGAATAATCAGAAGTGCTCATTAAAAGATCAAGGAATGCTGATTAAGCAGAATGATCTTCTCTGACCTTCATTGTTTTTCACTTTGAATAACCATTGCTTGTGTCCTGCCAGACAAGCTATTTCCTATCTTTGAAGTCATTCTCCAGCACAACTCCCTTTCAGCTATTTTCATTATCCATTACAATGTTTTGAAAGTCTCTTTTATCCTTCTTTAGTAGTGTCTATATACCAGCAGGGTCTTCCACGTTAACCCAGTGAAACTCACACCAGAAAAGGTCATCAAGACCAAAAGGATTATTACTGATAGCAATTATGAAAATTAGTAGAGAAGGTCGGCTACATTTACATGCTGGCATGCTACTAGCCTCAAGAGCTAAAAATAGGTGCAGAATTAAAGATTTTACTGCAGAGCKGGTAAGAAGCTAATGAAATTAGAGCAATACATCCTGCAGAAGCTTTCTTCCGTGCTTTAATAGACCTCCTGGTTTACTCTAAAGCTCTACTGTACCAAAGAGATTTGGAGAGAGCTGTAGGGAGAAATCCCATCCCTGAGCTTCACCTCACACAACAGTTGAGGATCTCAGTTTTCCACAGGGCCAGATAAAAGAAGGCACCATGCCCCAGAAAAGCTCACCTTGCCCAAAGCCACCTCTGGAGAAGGAACCATCTGCCCATGATCTCAGCCTTGCCTCCCTCYTCCCTATTGGAAGAAGTCTCCACAATTAAAGAAATTGTGCAGCAGCTTATGCTGTTGTACATACATACACAGGTTATGCTTAACCTTACAGTACCACAATATTGTTGAGAAAGCACAACATTGATTTTAACTTCTTTTCCTTGCATAGGTTTTCATCTTCTGCCTTGTGTCATTGTGTTTTTCTTTAAACTGGGTGCTATGAAAACAAGCTTAGGAAAAGATGGTTGGATACAGAACACTTGGAGCCGTTTTGTTCTAAATGGCTTTGAAATGACCACAATACACAGTTGACCACTGAGAAATGCAGTCACCATGGCCTATGTTAAACACACATCTTCTACTTGATTACATGAGCTGACAACCTTAATGAGTACATGTAACAGCTATTATCCTATTAGTCATAATTCCAATCAGCAGGCGTCAAACATCATTAATTTTGCTAGCTTTGGGATTTTGAGGTAATTTTTATGAAATATTTCTTCAGTGGAATACTGTGAGCCATACTTGTAATTATCTATCAGCTTGGCTTTTCCTCCCTGGAAAAAAGAAAATTATAAAATGGAACAGTTGCAATAATTCTGCACATAAAGGAATAAGAATAGGAAACAATTAACCACAAGTATCTCATTAGCATGAGATGCCAGGAGTATATTTGTAAATCCGATATTTGTTTATTTTCATATGTTGTTTTTCAAAACAAGTAGCTTACATTTACCACTTTTGTAGCAAAAAAGAAGGGAGAAACTTAAAATAGCTTCAGGAATAATTAACATATTCCTAATCAGATCCTTCTTATAAATAGTGTTTTTTGTTTGTTTTCCTACCACCACACTATTTCACAGACTAGAATAAATATTAGGGTTTACAAACTGAGGTCCTATCTAACTGTACACCCTTCTATGATCTTTGAGAAAAATTATTTTTGATAAACATTTTAAAGTAGACTACTAATACAAGCTCATCCAAGTGTGTTCTAGGGATCTACAGCAGCTGACATGGATCATCAACAAACCATTAAAATCTATTTTCTACATTGCAATATTTTGCTTGTGCAAAATAAAAAAAAAAGCCAAGGGAACATTGAAATAGGAAAAAAGAAAAAAAAAAAAATCACCACCCACACAGAGGACAGAGAAGGGAAAAAAATAATGCTCTTGTTCCTTATTTGCTACCCAGGTGTACCCAAAGAACTCTAGATTGCTTTCTGTTYTGTTCTTTRGCTCATGAGGAAAGCAAATTGGTAACCAGGTAATTCTTCTGGCTATGACCTTCTACAGTCCCTTTAAAGAGTGCTTTCCTATTTCATTGACTCTTCATATCTCACGTGAAAAAGCAAACAAAAACCTCAATTGATGAATAAGCTACCTATGGTTGTCAAAAAATACTGCTTCGAAACCTGCTTGGGCACAATCCTGTGCCACCTGYTGTAGGTGACCCTGCGTATGCAGGAGGGTTGGACTAGATCCTCTACAGGTCTCTCCCATCTTAAGGATTCTATATCCTATATAACTACTGTAAAATTTCTTGCCTTCAAAAAGGCAGAGAAGCTTGTATACAATATCAAGWGTGTATGAGGTAGAGACGTTCCAAATCTTTTGAAGGACAGACCCATAAAAAACATACTGAAGAAATGCTGTTCAGCTTTCATGGGACATTATCTCTCTATCTTCTGGCAAGTTAAAAAAGCGGACACACCGAAACAAGCCTTTGAAAGCCAAAATAGTGCAATGCTTTTTGGCAAGCAAGTGAATAATGAACCAGGTTGCCAACCTGACAGCTCTTTGGCAGAAGCGCTATGAGGGCTGCCCTCTCAACAGATACCAAAGACCGAATATAACACTATGGCACAGGAGCATTTCTGAAGCTCAAAAGATAGCTATGGAAATAGAAGCTTATTTTCTGGGTTTCTTCTACTTATCTCCCATTCAGAGAAAGTGTTTAACATATTACCTCTTGGGCTGTACAGCTATAAGTTTATCTCCCTTCAGTAAGCACACAGAAAATATCCTTAAATACCATTAGTGACCCACATAAAGATGTTTTCCATGTTTCCTGCATGTTTCTCTTATAATGAAGGTTAGACATTCACTTAGTGAAGCACCAAGACTCTGTTGCAGTGTTTTTATTAACAACTTTGCAATTCARCTATTGCTTAATAGGTATGATTTGGCCACAGAAGAACCAACTCAACTGAGTGCTCAAAGCTGGCTTTTCTTAAGCCAGCTTTACTTAAGGAAGTTTGGACTAGCCAATGGCTTCCAGAAGGAGATTGAGCCTGTCTGGAAACCAGTGTTCAAGCCAATTATGAACCAGGCTTCATAAACATATGAAGGAAATGTATTGGGGGGGGGAAGGGGGGACAGACAAAAACAACAACAAAAAAAACAGTTTTCCTTCAAGTCTTATCAGCAACAGCTTTCTATAAGACAAGATAGTAGGGGTAYGGAAAGCATTTGAGTCTTGAGGCAAAAATATATTACCTACTTCTTGGAGAAAATCCATTTCCAGTAACAGCAACTCATTTTTTTTTCCTTAAGTGATGAATCTAGCATGCATTCCAATTTGTAATTTCACAAGTAGAAAGAGAACATGCTATACTTCAACTTTACTTGAAAATGTTGTAATGATGTGGTAAAAAGAATGACTATTGCACTTACTCTATCTCTCCAAAGAGTCTGAGAACATATAAATTCCCTACTAGCATATCAAGTGTTTTCTAGGCAAAATGAGCTTTTTGTGTGTGTGTGTGTGTGTGTGTGTGTGCACGCACACTTGTGAGAGAAGGCTGAAAATACTAAATATTGGCCTAGATTTAGACAGAGAGATCAAGAGAAAAAATATTAACATAAAAATGAGAATCAGAATTTTCCATATTCTTCCTAAAGGCACAAGTGCCACAGAATATGAAAAGAGACTAATATTTTGAGGGCAAAGTTCTGACAGATTTTATACTAGTTATAAACTAGCAGGACTAGGCATCATGATGACATTCAGGTAGGATCTAAGCAAAGAGAAGGACCACAGTGTTAAAAGGCCCACTAAACACACAACTCTATAATACTTGCACTTCCAAATAAAAGTTGGGCTGAAGTGATTACATTATCTACTTGCACAAAACACAAGCAACTCCTACATACAGGGAGGCAAGACTGACAGCTTTATGAAAAAATTTTACAGCTGAATAGAAGCAGCTGTAAAGACATAAAGCTATAAAAATATTACTTTCAATTAAACTGCACAAAACAAAAAAAAACACAGATTTTATACCTCAGAAGTTTGAATTTAGAAAAAAGTTTTGAAGTAATTTTACCAGAAYGAAGGAGACCTTCAGGTTTTTTGCAATACCCCAACAGCATCCTGGGGACAACATGGAAGTGATCCTCTAGAGCATAAGCTAAATCAATTCTGCTAATTCTCCCAGCAAATGCTGGACACATGAGGCTGGACAGCTGAAATCTCCCTCCCTACTCAATCTTTGTACTTATAACATGTAAAACAGAAAGGGAAGAAATGTTCGCTACCCTGAGACAGAGCCTTACATCTTACTCTTAATATCCTGGGCTTAATAGAGCCCATTACTCTGACTAGCCCATCTAGTCAGAAATGTCAAGAGCAACTAAAAACTTAACTTTATGTCTTAGTTTTATCTTTTGTTTTATATCATAGTAATTCCATTGTGATCCAATGAAACAAAAGAACCCAAAMAACAGCAAACTCGCATAGCAAACACTTCTCTGTAAAAGTTTTTAAAAGAAAATTAGACATCACAGATGTTAAAGAAGCAGCTTTCACACTAGTACTCCACGAGCAAGAAAAGAAAGTCAGATTTCCCAGGTTCAGATTATCAATTTAAATTTGATTAAGACCCAGCTCAGCTAGAARCACAGCAAGCATTCTATGGTTGTCCAAGGAAATAACCAACATCGTAACAGACCAAACGTTGCAATCTTTGTAGCACCCATCCAACCAACAACATATGAAAACACATTGCCAGTTGAGTAAATCCTCATATGACATAGAGATACGCAGTCCAACTTATCTTGCTCAGTTTCTATCAGCCCTTACCTTCAGTTTGTAGAGCTCAGCTCTCATCTTGCACCTTCCCAAACAGAAGAAGGACTTTGTGCAGCTCCTGGGGAGCAGGGCACACAGGGACTAGGATGGTGGAACAGCCTGGGGAAACAGAGGCAGAAGCCTAGAGCTCTTGCACAACAACAGGACAAGGGAAGAGAGAGAACTAGAGCCCATCTGTGGCTACCAATAAGCTCATCAGCAGGCTGAGATGACRCACACCTGTGTGCCATCAAAGCTCTTTCTAGGAGCACTGCTAGGGGGACCATGCTAATGGCAAGATTGCTTCTTTAACAACATATGTGGTCCAGCTGTCAGAAAAAATATCAGTGCCTTCATTCACCTGCTCCTCCACTGCTGGTGAACAGAGTTTTTATATCTAACTCCATATGCTGGGTCAAATCCAGACATGGTGAGGTTCTTTTCTTAAGCAGAGTGCTTCCTAAGCCCCTGGCAGAGATAAYGTTCTCTTTACTATAGTGCTGTGGCCTTGTACCAAACGTCAGAGGAGTTGCCTAGCGTTACTGCGTATGAATAAAGGATTCACGTACGCCCAATTTCCAGTTCTATTCAGTTTGGCCTGTGCAAAAATTAGCTGTAACACTGTAGCCATTGTTACCTCCTCTTAGAGCAAACAGAGCTTTTTCAAATGTTCATTGTCCTTCACATTACTGTAAACAAAGGTTGAACTTGGCTCCTGAAAAAATGTAAATAAACAAGCAGCATGTAAAAGATCCTTTTTTTCCCCCCAGATGTTTAATAACGCAACAGCTGTTTGTGCCTTTTTTTTTTTTTTTTAATGTAAGATTGCACAGTATATCGAGATTTGGCAGAGACTGAGGACTGCCTTCCACACTTTGACCAAGAATAAAAGTGCTTTATGSCTAACAAACACTGTCACTCCTGTCCATTGCTGTATTTCACCTATTGCTTTACATTGTAAAGCAGTGCTAGGATTTAAGCCTGAAATACTGCTCCTGAGTTACTTGCCAGGTTACAGAAGTTAGCATGAAAATGGGGAGATGGCTCTGCCCAGACAGGGAACATAGAGCYGTCAGGACACAAGGGTGCTGTGGAGACACCAGACTCACTGTAATTTCTTATTTTGGGAGGGATTTTGATTTACTCCAAACAAGAAACTCTTCTGACTGGAAAGCAATTCTTTTACCCTCACAACATACTCACATTTCAAAGGAAAACTGTGTTGTACTGGACAGTCCTGAAAACTCTCTAAATCTCAGATAAAATGTAAAGAAAGCAGAGAGCAGAGTTTGACTCTTTTTCCACACTGAAGGTTATCAATCATCTCTCAGACTGTCCCTGTTATTAAGATCTTGGGAAGTCAAGGAAGGAAACTGTACAAAATAAAAGTATTAAACCTTTTATTCTTAAGATAATCTCAAATCAATGACTTCTATATGAGTAATGCTATTTGAAACATTTTTATTAGATTTTAGCATTCCTCCCTCCCCAAAAGACTCAACTCTCTCTAGGAAAGGGCTTATTCTAATAATGCTTGATCAAAAGTGCACTGCATTTCAAAAGCAGATTTTATTGCTGTTATTAAAGTGGCAATTCTGCAAAGTTTTATCAACTTTATTTCCTGGGGCTTTCAATCTGTGAGCTGTTTTATGTCAATTAGGAATTAAAGTTTTAACAAGAATTGATTAAAATCACATATCAGAATTTTCTACATCAGCAGCTGTACTATTTGGAAACAGATCATTCTTAATCTAAGTCCTAAAACCTAAATGCTTTGAAAGTTACCTTACTGTAATTTCAGTAACTTTAATTCTCATTTATGTTAAACATTGATTTAAGAATTGTCTCTGAAAATTAAAATGTCTTCAGCCAGCTCTCATTTCAAACTGTGATAAAACTATAGCTACTTGTGGAATAAGTTAGATTGAGTCAGAATTTGTATTGGTTTAGGTCAGCAAAAGAATCTGACTGTTAAGGTGCAATCTTGAATTTACTGTGACCAGAAAAAGATTTACCAACTGACTTCACCGAGTACAGGGCAGATGCTTTTGTCTGAGAATGAAACACAGGTTGATAAAGACACCTTGGAGAAAGATGGGAAATGCGCCCCAAATTCTGCTATATTCCCTCACCCTTAATCTCAAGGCTGATTCAACATTTGTGCTCGTCCAGTGACTGAAGATGGGTAGGGAGCCATCCTGCATATCTGAGGATTGTCATCATATAGGATAACAGAAGTGATTAAATACAAGTGAGAAAAAAAATCACTGAAAGGTTTTATGGAGTCCTTTACTCCATATTTCAAACATGGACTGGGCAGGACTGTGGCCAAAAGAGGCATCCAAGCATTGATTTATTAAGGTCACACTGAGCCGCATGTGCCAAATAATCATAAAATCATTTGAATTAGTCATTTCCTTTCTATGCATTATCTGCACTTTGTTATTTCTAGTAGAAAACTACACAAAATACAGTCAGTGGGCTTTTGTGGTTTTTATACTTGAGAACCATCTGTATATCATTGTTTTTCTTTCATTCCTCAATACAGAAGACTCATTCAGTGTTCAGCCTGTATTTTCCATTCTTAGTTTGAGCAAATTTCATTGATAGCTCAAGAACACTCCATTGGCTTTAGACTTGGAATTACAGCAAAGTCAGTGGCAGATTTTTCAGGACTGCTTGCAGAAAATGAGCCTGACTTCACTGAGTCTTCTCAGATTGGTTTTCTCTGCCCTTACTAACATGTAGTGCCATTGCCACTGCCATCTCAGTGATTTAGGGGAAAAATCTCCTGAGGAGATCGCTCAGTGAAATAAACACTGGTACAGTTTTGGAAATGCAAATGCCAAACTTTATTATAGAACCCCATACTGTGGTATTTTTAAAATTCGTTTTTTCAGTTCTGTACTGTGGGGTGGAAGATCTATTCAGTGACTTACCCATAGACATAGGTACTATCCTAAACAGAAGAAACTCTGGTACAAAGGAATGTTTTGCCATAGAACAAGTGCGAAACTAAAAACCAGCTTGTAATCTTACAAGCTAAATGAGCTCAAATATATTTTTCATGGGCTAGAATTTATTTTGAGTAGGTCTCTTCAGCCATAACAAATGCAAAGAATGCAAATACTGCCCTGAAGCCCAACTTTAGGTTAAAAGAAAGTATTGCTCATTTCTCTGGCACGAGCTCAGTTTTCTATATTTGATATTAAATTTATACAATACAAATAAAATATAATATATATTCAATATTTTGTATTTTAGATATCTTTTATATTGAACATTTCTCTTTCTTTATTACAGAAAATGAGAAAAAATTAGTAGAAACGGATAAGTTTAATAGTTGGGCTCAATCCCTGCATTTCTAACTGATTTCTTTATCTGAATGACATCTGCAAATTCAGAACACAAACTAGAAACCTAAAAAAGTCTTCATGGTACAATCTATCTGGTTGGAATTTCCAATTTAAAATTATCATGTATGATAATACATGAAGTCATCTCATTTTATTTACCAAAAAGTAAAAAGAAACCTTCTATCTCCAAAGGAGTAAAGTTTATCTAAGTCATTCGCCTAAATTTAAAACAGAATTCCCTCTCCTGTGTAAGGTTTAGCTGTGCCAGACATGGAGTTGACCTGAATCATATCAGAGAACTGGGAGCAACTTCAGTGCTTCGTGTACCAAACGAGTTGTTACCTTTATAAGCAATTCTTGACGATGCATTTGAGAAGAACACATTCTTTCCCCTGATGCTGACACGCTTGAAAAAAACAAAAAAGAAATTAATATAACAACCCCTCCCTCCCTTTTTTATTTTAATGAAGTCTGCACTCCCCTAAAACACTGTAGGATCAATTCTCTGCTAGGTCTAACTAAGTGAATTTGCTATTAAAAAGAATGGAAATTACATCAGGGAGGAAACACTTGTGCTTTGCCTGCAAGAGGAAGTGAGGGCATAGRAAAGTACCTGAATGGAAAATCAGGTCAAAGAGTAGCATCCTATGATGGATTTTTAGGGCAATTAATAGACAATCACTAGTGATTTTAAAATTTTATTTATATATTATTACTTAATATTACACTTGCATTTTTATCGGGTATTATTTCCCTTTTTTTTCTCTTGCTCTTTATAAATGGTTATTGAAAGAAAAAGGGGGAGGGACAGAAAGAACGAATTATTCTGTTAACTGAAGCCTTTCTAACAGTCTGACCTCATTTTAAAAATAGGTGATGTTAACTGTGCTTACAAAAATAAGCAGATGACTGGAATTTAATGTTCTGCTGGTCATCTTCCTCAATTACCTYATGATAATTAACATCTAAATTTTGTATTTAGGGTTTCATTATATATGTGAAGGGCCCCTAATAATGAACCCCCAGATTTCTTAAGATTTAATGGTGTTATTCATATAAAAATCTCAGTGTTTCAGCACCTCTTAATTCTTTTCCATTACAAGTTAAGCATGAGCTTGAAAAGTCTGCTCCAATTTCCATCATTTTTGACCTCAGTGGAATGTTCCACTTATTCTTGACATATCTGCCTATACTTTCCATGTAACTTAAGTAATTTATTAATCATTGCAATTTTTTTTAGTATTATTAACAAAGGAGTAGACACATTTCTGTCAATATATTACTCATCAATACATTACAAAAGTTGTCTGACTACAACTACAACAACCCCAAATATTTACTAATGCTATTAGAAGAGAAGTTCAATACAAAAGCTTGAAATTCACCCCAAACACTTACAGGCTTATAGATTTTACCAAGTTTCATTTAGTATGCATGGGTATTTCCAYGGAACTAAGGATTTATACACTAGCTTCCTGCTTTGGACAAATTACCCGTGGCACTCCATGAAATTCACAGGCACTACAGTGATTCCCTGTTCTTATCCTTTAAGTATTGCATTTATATATCAAGCTTTATCGACAGGAACCGCGCTGGAGCCCAGGGCTGAAGTCATTATTAAGCATCTATGAATGGGGAAGCTAATGTGGCTCTGAAAAACGGCTCAGATTGGGTGTGAGGGGTGTGATTTGCAAACGCAACTCAACTCTCTGCATCATTAGACCCCCTCAGTGAAGTTCTGGATTCCTGGAGGGCTGGATGCAACAGGGGGAGAATAACAAGAGCTGCTCCCCTTTAGCTTGTTTTGAT